TTTGGGAAATTTTGGGGGCCTTTTCCCCCCCCCCCGGAAAATTTGGTTTTTTTTTTTTTTTTACAAAAATTGGAAAGATTTTTTTTTCTTTTCCCAAACCCCCGGGCCGGGGGTTCCCCTTTTTTTCCCGGTTTTTGCCCCCCTTTTTTTTTTTTTCCCGGTCCCGGGAAAAAAATAAAAAAATAAAAATTTTCGGGATTTTTTTTTGTTTTTTTTTTTTGGGGCCCCCCGGACCCCTTTTTGCAAACCCGGGGCCCCCCCCCCCCCCCCCCCCCCCGCGCTCTCCTTCTCCCTCGTGGAACGCATGCACAAGTACTGATTTGTTGTGTGTATTGTTTTACGTTGGAAACACCCGCATGACGAACACTGCCTATCCCTGACATGGAACAACAACAGGGTCGGTCGTGTTGCACGATGAAGCAAGTCTTGGGGGCGGCGGCGTGGATAGTGGGGGAGTACTGCCGGCCGCACCTGGAGACCGTGGCGAGGAATCACAGGAGAAGGCAGCGGGTGTGGTTTGACATCATGCAGGTTAGTGCTTGATTTTAAAAATTATGTACTTACTTACCCCCGTTGTTTTTGTTTCTTTTGCGGTGGTTTTTCTTTTTCATGTGTAGAAGTACGTCCTTGCCTATTATGGAAAGCTAAGAATAACAAGCAAATGATATTCTACGTTTTGGTACTCCTCCGGCCGGAGCACCCCGAGCGTGCGCACCGAATCACACAGCAGTCAGTTTTTTTTGTTATTTTTCCTCCTTCGCGTCAATGGCCACAGACCGTGTATCCTGAAGCAGGCTATTCTACTACTGTCCCTCCATGTGTGTCCCTCCATGTTGTGGTTGCGAGTATCGCAATGGGTGCCCCCCCTCCCCCCCCCCCGGGGTTTGCCATCGGGGTTTGGGTTTTCGTCGCTTGGCAACGACGTTGTAAAACAAGCCCCCCACTCGGTGTTTGCCATCGGGATTGGGTTTTCGTCGCTTGACAACGACGTTGTAAAACAGGCCAATTCACTTCGTGAACTCGGCAACCAGGTTACCGTTTTTTTTTTTTTTTACCTCGTTTTTTTTTTTTGGCGGTAACCATAGGGTCGAGTAGATCATGTTGTGCGGGGTCGAGAAACCTCACTCCGCGCAACGGGGGATGATCGCACCACGTTGTGTTAAAATGGTCAAGCATCCTCGAGGCAGTTACACAGTGCTTACAACTGTCTCTGGAAGTGAAAGCACCAGAAAATAAAATTAAGTCATACGTAGCTGTCATCCGTACGCAAGGAAGTAAGCACAAGATGCCGAACACCCTTAGCAGGATGCAGCTCACCCTTCATGCGACTCGCCAAATACCTCACGGCGCTTCGCGCTTGGTGATGTGAGAGCCTGGTCCGGTGAGAACCCGGCGTGCTCCGTCCCGGCTTTGTAGGGATGCGAGGTCAATGGTCAAACGACTACGGCATGCACGACTATGAGTACCCCCCCCCCCCCCCCCACCCCCTCCCCCACTCTGCATTGCGATGCCTCACATACCACAAGTATTCCTGCCCCGTCAAAATGGTCCCGTCCGACTTTCCTCTCGGTCTTGAAAATTTCTCTGCAGAGGGCGCTGCCGGAGAATCGTCCGACACGGAGGGTTGCCTCGTGGTCGCAGAGACCCTCCCCCGGGGCGACAGCATCAAGCTGGATGGCGAGGAGCTCGAGGACTTCCTTGCCGACATGAACTGAGCTCAT